ACCCCCCGACACCCCCAAAAAACTAGCCAATCAAAAGACATGTGGTCGGGACGACCGATATTCTTCAGCTAATTGGACTGTCTGATAATGGGCGTTCGATTGAACCAGACGATACTGGGTGGCCGGTAAGACCTGCCTCTTTTGGGCAACCAAATCCACAAACACCAAGCAAAATCTACTCCTAGGACTAGCTAAGAAAGAAAACACAAGGGTTTTAGAAAATCTAACCAACGCGAAGGTTGTAGATGTGTTTCTTCTAGTGGGATGATGTTTTCCTAACAGTAGGTGATAAGACAAAATTTTGGCGAGGTTTCGGCGAAGCTCCAACGAGATTCGCTCCACCCTTCTCCAAGGAATGAAGAAGCTCTTCGAGTGGTAGAAGAGATAATGAAGCTCCGGCGAGGTTCGAAGCTCTGACGATCCTTTCCCAAGCTAGAATGAACCTCTCCTTTAGCGTAGGAGAAGAGACACCTTGCTCTTTGCTAGCCGCAATCCTCCTCAAAAAGCTCCTCACACACTCTAAGAATGGTGGAGAAAGAAAAAGGAGGCGACGAAGAAAAGAGGAGTAAGAAGGTAAATAAGAATAAGGGGATTCCTCAAATTCGTTTGCTCCAAGAGATTTTCTCCGAGGCACCTCCAACGTGTCCAAGAGGAAGATGAAGTTCCTCTTGTGCTCTCCCTAAGCTCTCCTAACTAGCCCAAGTATGAAAATGAGAGGAGATATGAGTTTAAACCAGCTCAAAAAAATGATTTTGATGGGTCATGAGGAGTATGTGTCACATATTTAAGTATTTCCTTAGAGCAATTGCCATTTTGTTGGTATTCATCTTAAAAAATGACTAATTTACCTTTTTTTTTATAACTAGGCTTTTTCAAATGATGCTGCTTATTTGAATAAATCAATTGTAAATTATATGGAGTTGGAAAATGTTTGTCGTGAAAGTCAGACTATTGGAAACTCGGCTAAATCTCAGAACTCTAATATTCCAATTGGGACACAACAGAATAAATTGGAAGATGATGACTTCTTAGGTTTATTGAGACATATGCAAATGCAACACAAACTACTAATATTTCAGATGTTTATTGAAAAAGTTGCTAAAAAGGGGGGTGTTCTATAAAAGAAGAAGAAAGTGTTTGCGGTTAATCAAAGTCTTGGGAGTGCATTGTCATGATGGCAGATTGTGCTGGTAAGGCTGCTACCATAATCAAGAGCAGGACAACATATACTAAGGAAAGAAAATCTTTTACAGAACTTATGACAGAGCTTTCAAATATTCAAGAATCTTACAATGGCTCGTTCACAATCCAAAGCTCAATGTAAAATGAAGGAATTAGATAAATGGGTCTCACGAGCCAGATATATTAGTAGATTAGTTACTCTAACAATTTTATATTTTGAAATTTTGAGACTCATTTTGATCTCAATGATTGAATTATCATATTTGTAAAACTTTAAGTTTTGATAGCATTTGATGTATTTTGAACATCTTTATTGACTATTTCTCACCTTAGCCGCACGGGACACATAAAGTCAAGTATTGAGACAAGATTTCATCTTATGAGCTACTGTACTGTGAAATTTTTTCATATTCTTACTATTGCATCATGGATTTGTCTCTTAATTTGTTGGGCATCCACTTTTATGACTATAATGATGTGCAGGTTTTATGAATGGATTAAAGCAAAATTTAGAGTTAATTTTTACACCATTATTTTCCAAAAATGGATCCTATGTTTTTAATTTATGCAATCCTTATTATGCAGGTCTTTAATCATGTATGGTTGAAAAATGCTAATGAATTTGTTAGTACTTATGTCTATTCCCAAAATCAAATAATTGTATGGCGATATCCGTCGATGTCAAAGGTAAGTGAAGTCTGAGTCTATCTATGAATTGCATATGAGTATGCATTTTTTTTTGGAAGATTTGTATACATACCGCTCAATTCTTATGTATTTTTATATCTAGCAAATACAATTCAATTTTAACTTGCATGAAATGCTGTTTTTTACTTTCTTAGTGCTGAAATATTGGTATTTTTCATCTGATATGAAAGATTTGGGTGGTATAAATGTGAAAAGTAAATTTTAGTTGTTGTTGTATGTGTAAATACATGAGAATTGGGTGGTATGTATGTAAATACCCTTCTTTTTTAGTCTTCTATATTTGGCCATCTCTCTTGATGGGTTTTGTCTATTTATTACATTTTTAATTTTTGCAGACAATTGTCACCGGAGCAGAAGATGAAATGCTCAGGTTTTGGAATGGTTTCTCCTCTCCAAACTATCAGGCTGGTGATGTTGCTGCAACACTGTTTACTGGGACATCAATGATTTTATACCATATAAATTAACAAACAAAGAGTTTTAGGGAGTGTTTGGGGGGCGGCCGGCGGTGAGGTACCACACCGTACCGTAATTTTTTTTGTTTGATAAAACTGCATTTTGATTGTTTTTTTCAAAAAGCTGCAGCTGAAAGTTGTGTTTTGTAATCTTACCAACTTAAGTGTAGTGGCTGCTAGAAAGTTGTGGTCTGAGTTTTCAAAAAAAAAAAATTTATAATAGCCACCGTAACTTTTTGAATGTCAGTTCCTTTTGCAGCAGTTTCTTCAAAGAGCTGCAGTTGCCTCAAACAGACCCTTATTTTTTGACAACTTATTTTTCGTGTTAGAGCACCGAGAACGAGATCAGAGCTTTCTCTCCTGGAAGAACCGAGATTACGTGACAATTGGATTCTGCTACTGTTCAAACTCTATATAGAAATTGTCATCAAATGAAACAATCGATTCCACTCGATCGGCTGAAGGTTCACAAGAATCTGTTCAAGTTTTGATCTTCAATAAAACATTTGGATTGAAATAGAAATTGTCATCAAATGAAACAATCGATTCCATTCGATCGGCTGAAGGTTCACAAGAATCTGTTCCAAGTTTTGATCTTCAATAAAACATTTGGATTGAAAAACTTCATTGTTGTCTGAACAAATAAAATACTTCTGGTTTTGTCTGAAGGTTTTGGCTTGTATACTTGAATTAATCTCGTCCTACAAGTGCAAAGCACATGTTATTGTAAATTTCAAAGTTGCAGAAATATGACTGTGAAAATAGTAGTCATTTATTAGCCTTTGTTCTAAAACTGTGAAGGAAAAAGATAAACTGTAAAATTTACAGTTTTCTTACATGCTTTGGTTGCTTCTTTATTGCCTGATCATATCTCAAAGGCTTATACAGACAGTCTTTATTACCCGTAAATATCGAAGTTAATAGGGGTGAGATATGTAAATCCCTATATTTTGGGTGTTGGGTGCAGAAAACACCCAATTTATTATGAACTGTGGAACCTCCTCTCTGGCTTTATCATACCATGGCTAATACATTCTATTTCATTATCATACTTTTTGTTCATGAGTTGCAGATCTGTATACCAAAAAATGCAATTGCACATCCAAACTAGTTAAATGAATTTATAGATTTATTTCAATTTTTTTTATTATAATGAAAATGATTTAGCTAATATTATTTTGATGCAAATTATATAGAATATTATATAAATAATTTTTTAAAAAAAGATTATTATGTTTTTTAGAAATAAATTTAATTTTAAAATATTATATAAATAAAAAAGAATATTTAAACATTAAATATATAAAGCTTATAAAAAACATATGATATATAGCTAGTTTATTAAAAATAAAAACTTTGAATTCTACTTACGCAACCAAACAGTTCATAAGTATCATGAATAAACTATTTTACTCTGCTCTCCATCTAACTAAAGAGAAAAAAAAAACAATTACCTTGTATTTATTTTACAAACAATCAAATAGTTCTAAAATATTTAGAATACACTGCAATTAGAATACTTCTACAAACAATTTAGATTTCATTTTCAGCAAACCAAACAATCCCTTAGAGGAATAAGGGTCTGTTATCGTAATTATTTCATCAATCAATAATGTTGACTATTCATGACTCGCAAGCATTTTACCTTCAAATTGAGAAATAACAATCAATTAACAATTTTTTTTCTTAAATTAAAAAAAAAAAAAACTAAGATAAATAATGCTTTAATGCTTGGATTACAAAGCATTACTTTTTCTCTTTTTTGTTCACTCAAGTGATTGGTCATCACTTAATATGATTAGATTCAAATGTCTTCATTCTTCAATAGACTCCAAATTTAGTCATAAGCTTGTGCACAAATTGATATAAGAAAAAAAATAGAGATATTTGGTTGACCTTCAATCCAACATCTTACTCGTATATATATAAAAACATCTGTCAGTTAATATTTTATATAATTTATAATACACTTCATAAATATTTTTAACTTCTTTATATAAATAACTTGCCAAAAATATTTTTTGCAATCCATAAATATTACTCAAATCAACTCTGAAACTAAAATATTTTAAACCAACTTAAATGCATCAGAGTCAAAATCAACATCTACAATTTCAAATTTAGACTGACAAGCTTCAACTCAATTGATGCAAACCCTAGAATAAAAAAGCAACCTTTATCATTATTTCATCAGAAGAGTATCCAGTGTTCAATTTACAATATGTGAGGTGAATTTGAGGTTAGGATGCAGACATCCACCCCCTTTAAATCTCACATCACAACCACATTTTACTATATTTTCTGAGATCCTTGCAATAAAAAAAAAAACCAGCTTCTGGAAGATTTGAAATATAGCAGTGAAGAGCTCCTCCCACATATATCTGAAGAGTCATAATCAATAAAAAAGTAATCTTTGATGTATAGTTTTCTCTCCTGCAAATGATGTGCAAATTGATGCGCTTCAAAAGAAAACACAAAAAAAAAAAAAAAGAAAGAAAAGGTAGTCCACCATAGGGGGGGAAAAAGAGAGAGGGTGAAAGAATGGATAAAGTGAGAGGGAGGAAGGGAGGGAGAGTAATAGAGTGGGATAGAGAGTGATTATAGAGAAGATACATGAGGAGAGAGTAGAGAGAGGGATAGTGATGAGGGAGGGAGGTATAGTTGAGAGAGAGAGAGAGAGAGCAGATTTATAAGAGAGAGATGCTGCGAATAGAAGCGAAATGTGTGCTGTACTTGTCGACTATGGAGGCGGCGGAACTGACCCGCAACAAACTTCAACTCATCAGCCATTAATGCAAAAGCTTCTACTTCAGTCAAGGATCTCACTGTCCTTGTGGAAGAAGGGAGGTTGGCTCCAGCTTTTGGATCTAGAGCCCAGGTCAGCAGTTCCTCCCCACAGAAATCTCCCTCTTTAAGAATACTTCTATTGAAGAAGCCGCTCCTCCCACCATCGGTGGTCACACTCTCAAGGCGACCGCGAATGATGAAGAGCATTTCATCCACAGGGTCTCCTTCCCTGACAATGTAAGTGTTCTCTGTGTAAAGACTGGGCATTAGCCGTTCACATATGGCGTCCAGCAGTCGCTCGTCCATGTTTCCAAACAAAGGGACCTGAAAGGAAAAGGAAACGTGGGATAATGAATACATCCCTGCTTAATTCTTCAAGGCTGAGTTTCTAATATTCAGAATCCATAATATTAGAACGAGACAAGTTGTGGAAACCAAACAATAATTTTCTCACTCAAATTCCAAAATATATACAATGTAGAAAACGTGAGATTAAGATCCTGTATTGCAGGAAATAAATTAATATCTTTCTTATTTTCCTTGCCATTATTATGTTTTGTTATCTTTCTTATTCGCTTGCCGTTATTATGTTCTGTTTTTGGCAGATTTTGACTATATAATTCTCTTAGATTTAAGCCTTCCTTTTCAATCACTATTGTTGTATAGAACAACCTTGGGTGTATAAATAAAATAACTCAGAGAAACCTTTCTTTCTTCTATTTTATCAAGGTATCATAGTCAGCCTTCTCCATGGCCAAAAAAATCATGATTGGTAGGGTGCAAACAAGGATGGATTCCTCAGAAATCCCTTCTAGTTTCTCCACACAATCTAACACCTAGGGACAATCACTTTTTACAAATTACTCGGCATAAAACTAATGGGACTAACTCGAAGGGGAGATCTCAAAATGTTATGTTACCGATTCAAAGCAGAGTACAGATCAACTCTCTTATTGGGGCAACAAAACAACTAAAGTAAAATCATACGCGCAACTTGTAAGGCTGAGAATACAATTGGTTGATAAATTTAATGGAGCATAAAATTAGTCAAACATATTTCTATAAAACTGCAAAGTAATTATAGGATATGGTGTAAAAAATATATTTTGATCTCAAAAATACTGGCATAGTACCTTGATATTTGATTTGCTCTTAAAAGTGCATGCCAATGTACTATAATTATAACTGAATATTTTAATACTGTTATGAATTTTAACAAGAGATGAATGTGTACTACGAAGCCAATTGGAGTTGCCTTGAGATACTTTAGTATAACCAAATGAATAAGAACGACCAAATATTTAATTTCCTTTGAGTTGAAGAATAAATTGGAGGAAGAAGGAGGTTGTTTCTAAGGAATAAAACTTTTTGCCAACCTATGGGAAGAGTTGCAGCTGTTTGATGGTAGGAAAGATGGAAGAAGGTAATAGTCGGAAGTCAAGAAAAAATACCGACTGAAGCCCATACACAAAAACTCATCTCTTTATCAAAGAGAGCAGTTTTGGATTATTTAATTAAAAAATATTTTTTTAAAAAAAAGATGAGACATGGTACGATCATTGTAAGAAATCTTTCCACCCAGGACAGCTATCCAAATGCTATTTTCTGCATTTCCAGTCGTTGCTATCATAATAATCAGGAATATAAATATATCATGCATGTACAACAGTCAGCATGGTCACCAGTTTTAGTCCAGCCTTTTGAGAAGAGGAGCAGTGTTGAACAATATCTTACCCTTCTCACCAAAGCCAAACAAAGATGACGCTTTATATCTCTTCTTAGGTCTGCAGGAAGGCTCTTGACCAAGTTTTCTTCATCCACACCTCGAGTCTCCTGCCACTTGTACTGATCATATCGCCTTACACGCTCCCTAAGTTCTGGTGGGAGTAAGCGGTGATGCATCCACTGCTCCGAGTCACGTCTTTTTACCCTCATCTCTTCAACTCTTATTGTCAATGACTGAAGATAGGTCTGAAATAATAATTCAAAAGATTTATTCCGAGAAAAATTTTCTAAGCCAAAAATCAGCTTCTTGTTATCAAGCTAAAATTTAGTGTGCCTCTCAAAAATAAAAAAAATAAAAAAAAAATCAGTTAAAATGGCTGACAAATAAGAAGGATGCTCCAAATAGCAAATCATGAACTACTTAGCATAAGTAAATCATCTAAGAAAACTTCTCCCAAAGCATAATTAGCCTTGACCGCTTACCAGATATCAATTGGTATGTGCAAACATATTACACTACAAAAATTCCCTGAGAAAATGACAACATTTTAACCTGCATTGGTATGTGCAAACATATTACACTACAAAAATTCCCCAAAAGGATGAACAGTGTGTTACCTGCATATTACCAATAAGGAGGGCAAAGAGAATGAGTCCGAGTATAGAAAGTGCTATGGAGTAGAAAACCTCTCCAGGATATGTACTTGTAACAAGTCCTTGTCCAAGGGTGCTGTCAGACATCAAATAGTGAAATTCATCTAAGCAAAATTGGGATTTAAGTTTAACACGCACTTTTTAGATTATAATTTTCATATGGACATGGTTGTCCCACAGAAAACTTTGCAAATCCCAATCAGACGGTCACTTTAACATAATTCAAAAGCAAAGTTAAATGAGAAGAAAGCCAACAATTTGCTACTTGAAATTTACTACTTTCACTAAGACCCAAGAATATGTTGTCTTAAATATAAATTGTTACAATAAAAATCAGTGCTCAAAGAAACTTAGAATCCTACTTACAATAAAAATGAAAACTTATAACAAATAGAGAGAAATTAATTGAAGTATTAAACTTGAACGAAAAATTACCTGAACGAATAAAGAGAAGTGCTACTATGCTTACATAATTTAATAAAAATCAAACTATTCTAGTAATTTAACACATATATCACATTACATGTAACATATTATTGAAAAAAATCCTTTCCAACTATTATTTTATCTAACCTATAATGCTACAAATGTTTGAAAATTTATTTTCCTTGCTAGTGTAATTCCCTGGAGGGTTAATAATAATGCCCTCAAACTATCATCTATCATGGCTTGCATATTCATCTTTAACTTGCTACAAACATGCATGTGTACCAACATTAATTGCCCTTGAAAACTAATACAACAATAAGAAGCCTTTATCCCACTAAGTGGGGTCGGTACATGAACCATTTTTCTCCATTGTCCTATTGAATGCTATACATTCATTTAATTCTAATAAATTAAGATCTTTCGTTATACAATATGTCCCAGTATTTTTAGGTCTACAATCCACCTTTCTTAACATAAGTTGAATCTAAAACATTTACTCTTCTAACTGGATCATCAGTGGTCGATATTTAATGTGACCAGACCATTAATACGGCTCTCTCTAATCTTGTCTGCCAATGGAGCCACACCAACCCTTTCACGGGTACATTTGTTTTGTATTTTGTCTCTAAATGTCAAGCCACTCATCCAACTAACCATTCTCATCTCAGCAATAATTAACTTAGTTTTAAGATTCTCTTTTAAAGGCCAACATTTTGCGTCATAAAGCATTGCAAGTTTGAACACCATCTTATAAAATTTTCCTTTCAAGTCCAAGCGGTACTTTTCTATCACACATTAGGTCCGATACATTCTTCCATTTCAACCAACCAACTTGGATTCTACTAATAACATTCCCATCTATCCCATCTATATCACCATCTCTATATCACCATCACTTTGAACAATAGGCCCGAGATATCCAAAACGTTCACACCTTTTAATGATTTGATCACCCATAGTTACAACTCTACCACTAGATCTACTAGTACTAAAATTATATCTCATATATTCAATTTTTGATCTACTCAAACGAAAGCCTTTAGACTCTAATGTAGACCTTCATAATTTAAGTTTTTCCTGAATTCTTTCTTTAGTCTTATCCACAAGCAGGAAATCATCAGCGAAAAACATAAACCAAGGCACAATCCTATAAATGTCCAGTAAGAACATCCATAACTAAAGCAAAAATATATAGGCTTAAAGTCGATCCCTAATGTAATCCAACTGAAATAGGAAAATATTTGGTCATCTCCTTCTGCTCGAACACAAGTAAGAGCTCTAGTATACAAATCTTTAATGACTTGAATATAAGCCATATCAACACCATTCTTTTCTAGAACTCTCCAAAGAACTTCTCTTAGAGCCTTACCGTAAGTTTTTTTCTAAATCAATAAAAATCATATGTAGATCCTCCTTACTCTCTATATTTCTCAATCAACCCTCTCAATAAATGCATAGCTTCCATAGTAGACTTGCCAGACATAAATTCAAACGAATTATGAGAAATCTTTGCATCATGTCTTAACCTATGTTCAATTACTCTCCCATAATTTTATTGTACGACAAATTAGCTTAAATCATCTATAATTTGCACACTCTTATGCATCCCCTTTATTCTTAAAAATAGGGACCAAATACTCCTCCAACCAGGCATCTTTTTAGTTTTTAAAAAAATATTAAAGAGTGGTAAGCTAAGAAGCTCCAAAATCTCCTAAATATTTTCACACTTCAATTGGGATATCATTAGGTCCTGTTGATTTTCCACTTTTGGTTTTCTTTAAAGCCTCATTAACTTCATTTTTACTAATGCGACGGTGAAAATAAAAAAGATATTATTATTAATGATATTAAGATCACTAAGATCGATCATATTTTTAGAAACATCATTGAAAAATTTATCAAAATATCTTACCCACATATATGGAATATTTTCCTCTAAGAAAAACACTTGTTTAGTTTCATCTTTAATACATTTTACTTGAATAAAATCTTTACTTTTTTTTTTCTTTTTGTTTGGCTATTTTATACATATGTTTTACCCTTTTCAGTATCTAATACATTATAAAAATCACTAAAAATAATATTCTTAGTTTCACAAATTATTCCCTTAGACTCCCTATGGGCTACTTTATATTTTTCCTAGTTCTCCAAGATTTTACATTTAAACCAATTTTTAAAACAAAACTTCTTATATTTTATCTTTTCTTACATATTAATATTCCACAAACAATTGATTAAAGATTTACCTTATGACTCTCCAAGTACATCTTTTGTCAATATTGCTTGTTAATTTATCCCACATAGAATTAATTTCTTCATGAACATCCCAAATCTTGAAGTTTGCTCATGAAAATAAAAATAATAATAAAACAAAAAACTTGTCAGAAAGCTCTTTTAAAAACCAATCCTCCATAAAATACACGATTTACAATGGTTATAATCCGGTATTAGTTCTGTTAAATTTGCTAGATCTGGATTATATGGCAATATCTCTAATAGTAGCACTGAAATTTTGTAAAAGAAGAATTTTCTGCAGGGCAAATTGGGTGACCAACGTAAGGAATGATGCTGAGCGAAGACATCCATAAAGAATAATAATGAGACTGGGAAGTCAAATTAGGAATGGAACATTTTTAAAGAGCACTGCAACTGACAAATAAATTCTATAGGATTTATGTAAGATTTTTTTGGAGCCAAAACATGATAATGACGAGATGATATGAGCGCAATAAGTACAAATAAGAAGAATTGCTAGAGAAAAAGATGAAATACAGCAAAATCCAGATAAAGTGAAAGCAAGGAAACTAAATTCCTAAATATATATAAACTTCAAAATAGCTTGGGAGGCATTTCTTCCCAAAAACCAAATCTCAAACAAGAAACACGGAACAGGACTGCTTCCACCTCCTCCACACCTCTTTGGAGGAAGGGAGGGTGTCTTCCTCTTTCCCCTCTTTGGACTAGGGTTCATCTTCCTCCCAGGCACTGTCGTGGTACATATATCCGGAGCGGTGATGGCGAGGAACATTTTTAGGTTCTGCACGGCTCTTCGTGGCCTTGGTTCAGTGATGATCCTGATGGTCCTTGGCATTGAGGTCTCACGTACTACGCCGTCGTGGTCAACAACTACGGTCCAGCTCTTTTTCAACGGGAGGCTTCGGTTTTCTCACTGCCCTCGCCGTTCTTGTGCTCTTCCATGGCCTGTCGGCAATGTTATTATGGAGTTACTTTTCTGTGTCCTTACGGATCCTGGTAGTGTTCCACCTAATTGGAGAACTGCTGTGGACGAGGAGGTGGGAGAAAGCGCCCCATTGGCTGCCACAGACTTCAAAAACTCGATTTTGACTCAGCACCAATCTGCAATAATTTCGAACCCTGGAGATTCAAGGATTAGATTTTGTCGGAAATGTAACCAATTTAAGTCTCCTCGTTTCCATCACTGTTCTGTTTGTGGAAGATGTGTTTTGAACATGGATCACCACTGTGTGTGTTATCAAATGTGTTGGAGCATTAAATTATAAGTTCTTTGTTCTCTTTCTATGACTGGAAGATCATGTGCGTTCAAGAATTGTACAATCCAATCAGCTCAACCCTCAAAACATGATTGAAGATCATATTTGTATGATTGCATTGTACGAGATGATTCAAAGATTGATTCGACTGAATTGAATATTGCCTAATTAAAAAAACTTCAAAATAGCTTCATTTGGATCTCCATGCTTGAAGTTTAGTAAAAACATGAAAGTAACAATAAATTTTTAATATTAATCCCGTCATGCCTGGTAAATAGAATCTAAAACCTCTATCTATTAGAGACTCAATGCTATGAATAATTTCATTTGAGTCATATGACTAGAACATTATGTTCATTATTTGGATAAAAAATCTCGAGGGATGGAAAAGTGGGCTAAGATCAATGAAAATATGTAGAGGTGAAGAAGCAGCCATTGCTGCATGACAAGTAGGAGCATGCAAAAGAGCCTTTAAACTCATAGGAAAAGATAGTTCCAAGTTCTGATTGCAGCCATAATTTGACTAAGATGCTTCCAGAATGGTCATAGCTTGGCTCTAAAAATTTTGTAGCAACGCTTGTGCTTGAAAATTTGATCTTTTTTTATTCTGGATGAACTTGAAGCATTCAGTGAAACTACGCCCAAAATTTTTACAAAACGAAGAATGGGATACTTTCAAATTCTACTTAATCCAATATCGAAAAATTCAGCAGTCAATCCATATTTTTTTTCCAAGTAATGTCTAGTTCAACTAAAAAACACAAGCCAACAAAAGCTTAAGATGATCAATAGCACTATCAACTTGTAAATATGTATGCCAAATATTAAACAAGTGAATTTAGAGAGGTTGATTGAATCAATGTGGCTAGTGCCAAGAAAATGATACGAAGATTGAAGTAATTGGTGGTATCTCTATAGAGTCAAAATGGGAAGAAAATCATAACATACACATTGGAAAACCATTGATATAATAAGTATGATATGAAAAATGTATGCAGTAGTTAGCTTTTAAGGATGATATGATGGGGGACAATAAGCCCAATAAAATGGTCACCAACCAAATGCAAATAAAACAAAAAGTTGTGGATAACGTCCATGTTAGGATGATCTAAAGAGATTTTGCCATTAACCTCAT